TGACTTTCAGCCTAACTCACTATGAAAAAAAGGTGATTGTGTCCGACAAGAGGAGAAGGTGCACATGCATGGCTTTGCTTATAATGAGAAGGAAAAAATGTAATGAATGATAGTCTTAAATGTAAGGGTCAAATGTAAAAAAACCTCTCCACCATGAGCGTTCTAAAGGTCCCAGGTCAGACAGCTGGCATGCTGACCTAAAAAAACTTCCTTAGGCGAGATGTCATTGTACAGTCTTTTAATTCAATGGGAGGCATGCAATCCATTTTTAGTGTGCATTATAGCAGCCACATAAATCCTAAAGCATGGGTTTGCTCTATTGACTGTACAATACTGAAGATCTAGCATTAAGGAGAAATATTTTTATAAATAATTTCTCTCTTTAAAAGCTCTTAACGTAGTTATGAATTAAAAGCCCAATCCGGAAGTTCTCATTCAGGCAAATCTTCCACTGAAATCAAAGGGATTTGATTTCAGTGGAAGGTTTGCCTGAATAAGTAGGAAGTTTGTCTGAGTAAAGACTGGAGGCCTGGCCTGTCTGGATTTTTTATAGTCTGTTTTGTGAGTGGTACCTCCACAAATGAACTAATTTACTGACCTTTTTAAATATGACATTAGGTTCAAAGTACATATTCCACTGGATCTATTATTTATGAGAGAGAAACTACAGCTCTGAAATCTGTACACTTTAATTTGTCCCAAAGGTTAGACATAAGGCAAGTCCCTACAGTAGAAATTGCCTGACACCATTTCCCCCAATGACTAATGGTATTCAGTGGCTGTTCATTGTGAATTTTACTGATTTTAGTACTGTACTTACTTCTCCCCTTTCACTCTTCACCATGAGCAAAGGTAATTTTAGATGCGTGTGTTTGATAAGAAAAGGCATAACAATTGTGTTTCCTATAAAAAAATAAAATATGGGCGCTTGCAAAAGATAAAACAAAATGTATAATAAAATTCAAATCCTCAGGAAAACTAATTCCTTTGTAGCTTTTTCTTTGAAGAGAGAAACTTTATGCTGCCTTGCATCTTAAAATACAAGCCTCTTAGAAAAAGTCTAAATTTCTTCTGATGTAAAAGAATCTGTGAGCACATTTTAGGATCTTTCTACAGTGCTTGAGATGAGCTTAAAGATATTTAGCTGCTCTTTATTAGTTTACTTCAGGGGATCGTCTCACAGCTGAGTTGAACTAGATTTACATGTGCTTCTGTGAATATGTATGATTTCAGGGCTCCAGAGTAATTGTTGTAGCATGCAATGTGCATCGCTCATCTTAGCCATTCCCGTTTCACTGCATGTTAACTCCTCTCATGGCACAGAATAAATTGAGCTTTTTTCCTATATGAAGGCAGCAGTAGGCATTATGTATTCTGGGAGGCCTTGTGCCGCTCCCGAGGCAGTTCTTATGTGCAGTGTCAAGAAAAGAGAAGCTGTCATTGAAAAATTCTCTGGCGCTTCTTCTCTTTCCACACAGCCTATTCTGATCTATGACCTCTCTGAACAGTGGGGAAAACTCAAGTTTGCTGAATGTCAGCATAAGTAGCTCTGCATAGCTCTATGAAACTAGAATCTGCTCTGGCTAGCAGACTTGAGGAAGAATCGGGGTTAATTTTTCATCATCGTGTGTGTGTGACCCAAAATCATAAATTGGATTCCTCATCCACTCCAATCCTCTTTTCAAGTCAAAACATGAAAGTAATATTTTTAAGGCAAGCTACTAGTGTGAATGAAGAGGGCACAGCTGAACTAATTAATGAAGTATCTATTGAATACCCAGATGTTTAATTAATAAGATTGTGCCCTGTACATCAAATCCTCTGAAGTTCATCAAGAGTGCTGTTAAGCTGTCAAAAAACTAAAGGACTGATCCTGCAACCTTTTCTCATGCAAGTGGCCCTTAGTTCATGGGGATGGTCCTTGTGCCTTCAACTGGACTATGTCTGTGTATAAGGGTTGCAGAATCAGGCCTTAAGTTAGCTCTGCTCTTGCAAAGAAAGGGCGAAAGGGAAAACTGTTTGAAAATCTGTGAGACGTCTGTGAATCCTTCATATAATTAAAATCACAATATTTATTATGTATTTTGTGATAAAAGCCAAATACGGTTGTTGAAATTTTAGTTGCTTCTCCACTAATGGTAAAGGACCTGATCTCAAAGCTTTACTCTAAAGCCTTGTATGTGTGAATCAAAACATATTTTCCTATTTATTGTTCAGTAAAAGGAAAGATTGGATGACTGTGTCTTAGAAATAATTAGAGGACAGAAGCAAGCAGGTGGAGAGGAGAAAATAGTTGGTACATAGGTGATATCATGCTTGTTATTTTTCTCTCCTTATTGCACGCCCTATGACCTTGAATAAATTCAGTGAGTATTAAATCATTTTGAATTTGAGGCAATGCCCACGCTACAGAAACACCTCTTTATATCTACACTTCCATTCCCACCTCAAAATAGAAGACCAGGAGCTGAATTCTACGATCAGTTACACCAGTTCAAATCCAGACAATGGAGTAACAGAAATAATTACAGGTATGCGCGCTCGCTCGCTCTCTCGCACACGTGTGGCACAGGTATGCAATTGAACATTTTCTCTGTTAGACATCCTGTCATGTACTATTCCCATCTATCTCACACTTCATTCTCCAACTGGGCTGGTGGTTCCATCTGCACACTGAAACCCTTTCACCTATGGAACTCTATAAATAGTCAAATTCTCGGTCCTCTGCATTTTTCTACCTTCACCCACTACCTTTAAACTTGTCCACCATATTTATCTTGATGATACTTGCTTATGCATATCTTTTAGCACTTTCAGAGATTCCACACTCTCTATCCTGCCTTGAGCAAGTAAACTTTTGCCTTTGATCTAGCTTTATTTTATTAAATATCTCAAATACAGCAATATTTCTGTTGGGTAAGAGGCCCAAACAGAAGCACAACTTGATGGCCTTGATCTTATGCCATGATTCAGACATGTTTTTTTTCCCCTCTATTGCTTATAATGTTGATTCTTGACTCTATTTTCCTAGATCTCCCAAGTCTGCAAATCTGTTTTCACCACTGTATGTCACGGCTTAATTGCTTTGTCTGTACCTCTAATGAAATTCTCATCTATGCCTTTTACTCCTCTCACCTTGACTCTTACACTTCCCTTCTCTATGGCTTCCTGCCCAGTCCCAGGTCTCCAGACACTGTTATGTGCAGTATGCTCCCAATCGTCATCCTCAAACAATTTCCCCGGCTTTCCATTTATTTCAGGATCCAGTTCAAATTTTCCTCTTTGGATTTGTTGTTTTTGTAAAGCTTCTGTTTCTGTTCATTTTTTAAAATCAACGTTTTCCTCTCCTGGAGGAAAACCTGGCAGCCTGCATGCCATGGAAGTCAATGAGAATGATGGTGTTATACCAAGGTACCTGGTAGGCTTCTTGCATATCTGTAAATGTTCCTTAGGACAGGATGTGGTCTGATCTACTACCGAATTTTCCATGGAGAGGATTTCTTTTTTTGGTCTTTGGAGGTTCAACAAGCTGCTTATTGGTCTCCTTCCATGCCATATAAAATTGCTGCATATTCTGTTTAGGTCTTTTTAATGCCATGTAGGTGGAAGCATGGGGTGGACATGTAGCTCAATACATCACATGGGGATAGGCATACATTTTTATTAAGTTCTCTCAGCCAAACATAGATAATGCCAAGTTATTTCATCTTTGAAGGTCTTGATGTCAGATATTTACAAGGGGGTGCAGTTTTAGCAATATTATCTTAGTTAAACTGTAGATTTGTACCCTGTGGCATATGAATCTCTCAGAGGACCACTGGCATGGAAAATTAATTAGCGTCTTGCTGAATGAGTGCCTAAGCACATCACCTTTGACTTGGCCATATTTAGCAAAAAATATACAGACTGCTGCAGGCTTTCAAGACCTCTTTAAGGCACTGAATGGAGACTAATGTTTTGTGATGATAAAGCAGGATGTCATCTGCAAAAACGGCTATGTTCTTTATTATGGATTCTGATTCCCTAAATCTCTGCAGAGTCGCTGTAGTGCTTGCAAGCAGCTCAATGGTGAGAGCATACCGAATAAGTTACAGAGTCCAAACATGCTTTGTGCTCCTCTTTGAGAATCATAGAATACCAGGGTTGGAAGGGACCTCAGGAGGTCATCTAATCCCCAAATAAATCATCCCAGCCAGGGCTTTGTCAAGCCTGACCTTAAAAACCTCTAAGGAAGGAGATTCCACAACCTCCCTAGGTAACTTATTCCAGTGCGTCACCACCCTCCTAGTGAAATTTTTTTCCCCTAATATCCAACCTAAACCTCCCCCACTGCAACAGGAGACCATTATTCCTTGTTCTATCATCTGCTCTCACTGAGAACAGTCTAAATTCATCCTCTTTGGAACCCCCTTTCAGGTAGCTGAAAGCAGCTATCAAATCCCCCCATATTCTTCTCTTCTGCAGACTAAATAATCCCAGTTCCCTCAAGTCATGTGCTCCAGCCCCCTAATCATTTTTGTTGCCCTCTGCTGGACTCTTTCCAATTTTTCCACATCCTTCTTGTAGTGTGGGGCCCAAAACTGGACACAGTTCTCCAGATGAGGCCTCACCAATGCCGAATAGAGGGAAATGATCATGTCCCTTCATCTGCTGGCAATGCTCCTACTTTACAGCCCAAAATGCCGTTAGCCTTCTTGGCAACAAGGGCACACTGTTGACTCATAGCCAGCTTCTCATCCACTGTAACCCCTAGGTCCTTTTCTGCAGAACTGCTGCCTAGCCACTTGGTCCCTAGTCTGTAGCAGTGCATGGGATTCTTCCGTCCTAAGTGCAGGACTCTGCACTTGTCCTTGTTGAACCTCATCAGATTTCTTTTGGCCCAATCCTCTAAATTGGCTAGGTCCCTCTGTGTCCTATCCCTACCTCCCAGAGTATCTACCACTCCTCCCAGTTTAGTGTCATCTGCAAATTTGCTGAGGGTGCAATCCATGCCATCCTCCAGATCATTAATGAAGATATTGAAAAAAACCAGCCCCAGGACCCACCCCTGGGGCACTCCGCTTGATACCAGCTGCCAACTAGACATGGAGCCATTGAGAGAGTCTGATTGGGTGCCAGTCAAATAAAGAATACACATGAAGAAATGTAGAACATGATGGAGGCTCTAAAATGATGTTAGAAATTAGATTTCTCCAGTAATACAAACAGGTTCTATGGAACTATGTACTACTAGAGCAGAGGTGGGCAAACTATGGCCCGTGGGCCACATCCGGCCCACAGGACCGTCTTGCCCAGCCCCTGCTGTCCCCCTTTCCCTGTAGTTATGCTGCCATGTGGGCAGCACAGCTGGCTCCAGCGGAGCTGCGAGCTCCTGTCAGTCTGAGCGGCATCATAAGGGTGGGGTGGAGGGTCAGTTGGATGGCGCGTAGGTTCTGGGGGGGGGGCAGTCAGGGGACAGGGAGCGGGGGGGGGGTTTGGATAGGAGTATATGGGCAAGAATAACATAGGGTTTGGGGTTTTTTTAAGAGAATTTTAAAAATACGCCATTGTTTTCTTCTGTCACAATTGTAAGTATCATAGACAAATCATTAGTGGGATGGCATATTTTTGGAAGCATTCAGGGGTCTTTATTTTCAAATTCAAAAAATCATTGTTGGGCATACAAAAGAACTGCCTGGGCCCTAGATGTGATAATGTTATCAAGCTGCATTTTCATTTGAGCTGTTGTTTCGTGAAAAATACCCGTCCTCAGTTGTCCTTAAAAGGAGTACAGTTTCTTATCCAGGATTGACTGTTCTGATAAAATAGCTGTACCATATATGAAACAATAATTCTATGCTTTAAATACTTCTCAAAAACTCATGAGGAGACTGCTGTCAATTGCCATTTATTTTAAAATATAGTTTCATATGACAATTTACACCAGCTGAGGATCTGCTCCGATGTTTAGTGAAAAAACGCTTTACTTTTTTAATATGTATAAAAGAGGATTCTCCATTTGTAATTCTGGTCGTTGAGATCCTAGGCTTCTAGCAAGGTATATATTGGTGCGTGAGTTGAGATGAGTATTACACCTATCTTAGAAGCTAAGAGATTTAGAGGGAGAGATTTAACTTTAATATAGCATTAAAATCTCCTACAAAGTAGAATTTAGTATTTATTTAAGGGAAATAATTAGTAAATAAATCTGATAGAAAATTGAGAAATTCATCAGGAGAGACAAAGCTGCCTTAACTGTCTATGAAAAATCACTCCAGTGCAGATGAATGCTACTGTAGCATAAGATTGGTGTGGTGGCTCTAATGACACCTCCTCTTCAGTCAGCCCAGGGAATGTGGCTGGGGCTTCCCTGGATAGTTTTAAGAGTCCTTTGGGGTTACTGGCCACCTTGCGTAAGTAAGAGCAACCTTCAAGCAGCTCTGAAATATGGGAAAGTTGTGGCCCAACACACAGCTATGCCCAAGATGCAGGGAGCAGTATGGTGGCTTTACACTATCCGCTTCTCCTGAGTTGTGGCTGTGTGCTCCTCGGCCACAGTTGAGGACTCTGGGGACTAGATAGTAAAATTAATGCCAGAAGCTTAGTGATCACATCCTTTTTCACCAGCAATGACTGAAGTACTCGGGGTAAGGGTAAATGGTTTATTGGAATTCTCTTACAAGAAGTTGCTTAGATGCAGCAAATACTTGTTCCAGCCAACTTTTTTAACTTTATTGGGGCAGTTCCTCAGCTGGTGTAAACTGCAATGTACATCAGCTGAGGATCTGCCCCATTATGTTTAGAGACATTCTGATATATAGCCTCCATTTAGAGTGCAGAGAACTTACTTACATTTTTAGATGGTTAATTCCTTTAATAGTCGAAATACAGAATTTTAGCAACTGCAAAAGAGTTGTGGTGGGAGGTTGTATTTTGTTTCATGGCTGTAACAAAGGAATTCTTGGGTAAGTAATCGCCGCTATGAACAATGTTGCTTCTAGGTGAGCTAGTGGATGGTTAATCTATTGTAAACTTATTAAATTACATTTCTAAATTTAACAGTATTCTTAAACATAATTATTATCATAGTGCATATGCACAAGATGGCTGAATGAAACTGCACAGGCTCCTCATCCCTCTGCATTTCAGTCAGGCTGCTGCTACTTCTTTCTCCTCCATGGGAGGGATGGTGGGGGGAGAGGAAGGGGCATTGAGAGCACAGGAGAGACCGTCTCTTGGCTCTCAGATGTGCTATCCAATGCCACAGCGCCTGATACCCACCAGGAGCAATTGCAGGGAAAATCCTGCTCAGACCCTGCAGCCTGAAGTACTTTGCTGAATCAAGGACATTTGTAGGAGAGATTGCTTATCAGGTGCAATGCAACTGGCTTTCTGTGTTTAATATTAAATAAAATAAACCATGGCAAAATGTGAATTATGCTACTTAAACTTTCATAATTAAGTGTGTTAGTCATTAATCAGGAAACTAAGATACATCCTTGAGTGAAAGAAGACATCTAAATTTATCTCTTTTTTCATAATCCTAATCCAGTGTAAGGATCAATAGTTGGGAATTTCAGCAGAGAAAGGCTATTGAAAATGGTCAGGGCAAGTTTATCGCCATGAAAAGAATGGAAGTGGTATTTCATTTAGGATTATGCAATTAGTAAATAATCTGTAGGCTATATGGAAAGTGTAGGCTGCTCTCAATCAACACTTGGGTTGTCATAAAATTATTACAGAAGATGTTCTCTATTAATTAATATAATCACTGAATCTAAGCACATACTATATAACTAATAAGAAAAATGAATTATTCAAATAGCTTTAATTTAACAAAGTATTGCCATTTTAATTATATACTGGCATTAATTTAACACAAAAAGGTGCTTTAAGACTCTTTTTAGAGTTATGTTATTTGCTCTAAAGTGTCTTTGAATTTTAGAGCCTTTTCATGGTTTTTAAGTTGGAAAGCCCAGATTCTCTCCTGGAGACCTGACCTCTTTGTGCTGCCTGATAACCCCCCAATTAGCATAAAGCCATTATAATTATCATAGAGCTGGTATAGTCAGCACTTACTTCATTGCCTCCAACTGTTCGCTGGCCATTTTCTGATATTGTGATGACCGTGTGGGGCCACAGCCCAGTTAATGTACTTTACAGCCATTCCCAATCTGAAAATATTTCAGGATTAGTGTAGAACCGGCCCCAGAATCAGAAAGTCAAACCCTTTGTGCTCCATCATGCAGCTGCCCCGATAGGAGAGTGCAGCTGTGAACGTAGTCCTTGAGGAAATATATCTGGTATCCTAATTCTTGCTGAATTGGATGCAGCATCTTTTGCTGCAAAGATGGAGAAAAGTCCTGTGTCAATTGCAGTTTTTCCCTGGTGGAGGGAGATCTTTATTTCTTGCTCCCTGAAAGAGGGGAAAACTCTAATTCTAAGAGCATTTTCTGAATGGACCCCCCAAGCTACTACAGCTAAAAGTAAAAAGGCAAAACCTTAAAAATAGAGCTTGTCAGTTGTCAAATGTGGCTACAATGGATTGCAGGCTTTTAAAGCTATGTAAGTGGATAATTACAGGTTGGGGGGAGAACTCGTCTCCTGAAGCCACTTTTGACACCTGATGAGCTCCGTTTTTAATGTTTTACTTGTAGATCCAGTAGTTTGGATGTTCTTTCAGATAAAAAGCTCTTTTTTTCCCCACTCTTCCAGGGAGACCCAGAAGTCATGTTAAGTTGGCAGCTTTTGTTTTCATATCTTCATCTTTATCCTCGGAGTAGGCTGACAGGTTTCTGTTGCTATTTGAGCTGATACATACATTGTTACTGATGGTTCCTCAGTTGTTAGACCAATTAGCTGGAAGGGTAGATGGATTTCATAATTAGCTAAGAAAGATTGTAGAACTGTTTTGATTTAAAATTAATTACTGTGGTCAAGTGTAAGGCAATTCCATGTATGATCTTGGTTACCAGATACAGCATTTTGCAGAAAGCGTGGTTCTCGGCTGTCTTCCTGATCGTCTCCCATCTTTTAGCGCTGAAAGTTTTGCTTTCTTTCTTACAACTCCAAAAGGAGTCCACATATTGTTTAGAAAGCTTTGTGATTGTATCAGTTGGGGAATCAATTATTTTGTGATTCAAATGAAGATCTAAAAGAGTTTCAGCCAGGAGCTAAGGGAGATGCTACTAAATTGTTATTCTGCATTACATGACCGCCTCCCTCTTTCGTGTTAAAACTTATTCATGAACCTCGTATCTCTCATCTCCTCTGCTTACCTTGCAGTAGTCTGCTCTCTTTCCTTCCACCATCTGTCAGATACAGTCTTGAGAACGTTTCATTGAAATAAAGTCTTAAGACAGTCTATTGTCTGGAACAGCCTTCCTTCATCTCTCTCTTGTATCAGTTTCCCATCTCATTTCCACTTTCAGCTGAAAGTGTTTCTTTTCCTCTCTCACCTATACCCCTTAATTTCTGTCTCTTGCTATTAATTATTACCCTTCTGTGACTACTGTTGTTCTACCATGTTTTGGTCTAGAGTTGCGATGAAAGATGCAATAGGCGAAAAAATTATATTGTATGGTTCTGGACACACAGCAGAAGTGTCACCGGTAAAAGCCTCTCCACACTGCTCTGCTAATGTGCCTAAATCTGAACTGCAGGGACCACTTCTTGAAGTGTTAGGATAATTCAGCTTCCAGCTCCATTTAGCTGTCAACCCTTTTGCTGAGGCTGCCAGTTATGATCGTGGCTTTTGCAATGAGGACACCTGTCCATTAGGAACTGCTCTGAGACCATTAACTCCATTTATATGGTGATTATATTGTTAGTACTGACCTGGTTTGCAGTCAAACTGGAGTCGAAAAGCTCTGAATCCCATTGCCAAATCCCCAAGCCATCCAATTCCCCAAGACACTTATTAGGACTATTCCAGACAAGCATTTGATTATTTTAAAAGAAAATTTCTTGCAGCTCCGATGAAGACCCATTATGTGACAAACATGAATACTATTCCTTTTATAAACGTGGCTGTTTACAACAATTTGATGCTAATTCACTTAAGAACATTTTAAAGAAAAAAAAATCTATTGGGTTTTGTTAGGAATAGGTTCCTCTAAACAACCTCTACTTAAATTCAAATGTGAAAAATAATTATGTCTTAATCTACATGGAGATACATAAAAGATTTAAACAGACTAAATCCTGCATAATCTCAAGACACTTTACTGAAATCCCAGTATGGAATAGAATATTACTTGGATTATAACTAACTTCATTTCAAACCTCTCTCCACAAACTGCTGATAGATGCTGGAGAAGCAATGGAGATACAGATAGTCAGGGCTGATTCTCCACTCTGTCACACTGTTTTTATATCTCTGTTTTAATTGATTGCAGTCTAGGAATAGAATTCCACCAGCAGAGTAACAAATTAAAGGGTAAGCCCTGACTGTCTTTATTTTCACTGCTTCTCCAGCATCTAGGTTCTGTTTTTCATAGTTAGAAATGTTGTGAAACTGAAGTATTGTATGGACAAGGGTTTGGTTTTGATCAGGGATACTAAAAACAGGTATCTAGAGCAACTGGTGTAATTGTAGTGCTTACTCCAGTCATGTACATCTTCAGTACAAGTCTCCTTCCTGGCTCCCTGGAAATGATCGTGCATGCAGCTACTTCATTGATTAAAGTGAATTTTTAGCAAGGGTCAGTCACTTCTGATATTCCCATAACTATGACTGGCTAAGGAATATTTTGTTGACCTTGGAAATTGAAAAGACAACACTGAACTCAAAGGATGATCTGGACAAATTCTGTGCTACACAGAATCCACTTCTGAGTTATTATAAAATGGCAGCAAGATAATAAGGAATTCCCCTACCGCTCTTTTGTAAACATGTTTGGAATCCTTCCATACCTTGAATAAATCAAAATAAATTCATGTAAAAATAGAGTAAATTTAAATGTACTCTCTGGGCCAAATTCACCCATGCTGCTAAGGGGTACAGCATCATTAGCCTCAATTTATACAAAATGAAGCTGAGCCTCCATCTTTACTGTAGGTTGTTATTGTTTTCATTTCAATGTGAACAGGATTTCAGTAAATAACCATTAAAACCCCAGTTGGATTTCTACCTTCTCAATCCCTCCTATCATGACAGTACCTGAAACCTCACATAATTTTGGGTCTTTGGAGCAGAGTCTGGCTTTATTTTTGTGAACTCCCCAGGCTAAGTATAGTGTCAACACTCAGTAAATCATTCAAATAGTAGTAATAATAGTAACAGCACTACCTTATTCCTGCAAAAGGAAATGTTTTCTTTTAGACGGACTCTTGAAATGTAAAATCTTTGCCCTCCCTGTGGCTATTAGCTGACTACTTCAGAATGGTGCACAGAAACTGTGTGACAGAGACAGGTTTGCAAATATTGTTAAGAGAAGCTGAAAAAAGGAGGTTCCAACATATATAATATTTACAGTTGCATCCCTGACAGCCTAATTAATGTACTGGCTACTCTTGTCATTTGTACACCTCACCTCTTATTTTGAATCAGCTTTGTACTATTATTGAGGTGTAGACACTGAACAAAAAGTTTGTTAAGAGAGGAAGGGTGTCAGGGTCACCTAACCATGGCAAGAGACAAATATTAAAACTGCTAAAAATAACCCCTGGACTTTAATCTTTCAGTGGACTAAGCAGTTAACTCCTCTATTGCTTGAATTAGACAGAATAAAAACTGGCAAAACCAAGAAAGTAGAAGCCACGACTGCATCTAATTTATGAATCTGATTAAAGGGCAGGCTCCAACCATCTAGCAAGTGAGAGAGAAAACAGAGTGTTTACTGTGTTTGTGTTAATGAATCTAGGACTTGAAAGATATCAGGCATTTCTAAAGAAAGGCAGCAAGGACAGAAGACAGTAGACAAGGGCCAGTAGGGTAACGAAGGGCAAGGTCAGTTACGGTTGAAGAAAATTACTTCATTTTCTTCATTTATACCCTCTAGTAGATTTATGTATCTACTCCCCATTTTGTTAATAGGACCATACATAGATACAGCACTGTCGTACGATTCAAAGTGAACAGGGTAAAGCCTTGGAATATTCCACACAAGGAGCTTGGTTTTATTACTTGAGGGAGGGAGACTAAGTACAATGGCAGCAGAAGGGAAGGTTAGACTGCAAGGTGAGGAGCTACTGTTTTGACAAAGGTGAGAAACACAACGAATTAAATTAAAACACAGCAAGAAAAAACAAACAAAAGCACACTCTGGAAATGTGTTCTTTTTGGAGAGGGCTGGGAGAAGAAAAAATGGTGGAGTTTGCCAATCGCAATTAATTTTTCATTCTGCAATATCAATGACAGATTATTCAGTGGCCAAAATGAAAAGGCCATTGGGATGGCAACAAACAGCTCCTACTCTATGAAGTGCACTACACATTTTCATTTTGGCAGGAAATGTGAGGTATCTCAGAAACAACAATTCCAGAGTATATTTAGCTACTAAAGCTGTGGCACACAAATGTCACATTCCCATGAGTCAACCCATTTAAAGAACCCCCTCTTTGCACCCCCGCAGATATTCCCCAAGATGCCTGTGCTGAATTAACAGCTGAACATATGGATGTGACATCATCAAGGCACCAGTGTCACAGAAAATAAAGTAGCAAGTGGTTTCAGTAGAATTAGAGTGAAGTCGTTTGTGAGTGCAGGAAAAGAAAGAAAATACCTTCCAAAGGAATAAACACAACCACACCACACAGCACTTTGCAAAACAAAAGGAAAATGTTAAAAACATAAAAGAGATTTTTGTTTTTTTTTGTAAACGTGTGAAGGGAAAAAAATACACAGTGAAACAAAAACAAAAAACTTTATAAATGAATATTAAACGTAACCTTGTTTGGTTTAATTTTGCATAACAACTCCTTCCTTTGCCCTTTAAAATATTGGATCAATAGTAATTTTGGACCTAACTGGGGTCTGATTGGGCAAGGCAAGGAGTAACAGCACACAAGTACATGGTAATGGTAAACAACCATGCGGTCACCTCTGCCACCATTGTTTGTGTGTAGACTACTTCCAGCTTTATCAATATTCATCATTAAGCCCCAACGAATGCATGATATTTAAATGACCCTGTCAAGTGCTAAGAAGACTCTTTGGTAACCGTCGCTCCCTGGGGAGGTAACTATACAGTGCAAGCTACCTCATCAGTCAGTGACTAGAAGCAAAAAGGCTTACAACCCAACAGCTATACATTTATTAATATTTTCACTGTGCGCTCTTCTGAAAGCTGCTCCTGGCATACAAGATGCTTTTAAGAAGTAGCCTTCTGACCATTAAGAGTACTGCTGTGCAAAACAGTTGTGATGCATGGAACCACACATAACAAATGCCATTAATATTAACATACACCTCTGCATTCCTCCATGGCACATTAATGACCAGATTCTCCACTGGTGTAATTCATCATATCTCCATAGACATCAATGGAGCTACACCAATGTCCACCAGCTGAGGAGCTGGCTAGCCCCCAGGCGTTATCCTTTCCCCATTACAGATACAGGCCTAGTTAAAGGTAAACACATCTGTCTAAGTGGATGGGAGGAGGCCAACACTTTCTCTTGGGGGTAGTGTAGTAGAGAAGGAACAGAAGCACTTGCTCAAAATGGTGTGTATTATCAAGAGAGATGAACAAAAAGAAGCCAATTACTTATCTGCCATTTGCAGTGTGCCAGATTTATTGACCAGAGGAATTAAGGATTCAAGGTAAATCACACATTATCATTTTGAGTCATTTTGTTTTGCTTTCTTTAAGTACATGGCAGACAGAAAAGCAAACATTTCTGCAGCTGTTACCATAGCAAGAGCTAATTGCTTTTACAATAAATCAAAGCACAAGGCCCATAAAGGCAGGGTGGCCCAGCAGCAATGTATGAGAAGCTTGCAGGCTCACGAAGGATTACTACAGCCACTTGTCAAGGGTTTCACTTTGGAGTAATCCCAAACTCTGAGGTTCTGATTGATGTTTACTACCATAATATTGGAGTGAGAAGAGATGGGCCAATCAAAGAACTAAGACAAAGAAATGAATGTGAAGATGGGGTCTGCAGGAACCAGCAATTACTTATTGGCAGAAGCATGCTCTTATATTTAAGGCACAGGATGAGAAATCAGAAGTCCCAGAGTTCTATTTCATGCTGCAGTCTTCCTGCATGTTCGGCAAGTTCCTTATGTCCAGATTTGTAAAGGTATTCAGGGGCCTAAAGATGCGGATAGACACCTAGTGGGATTTTACAAAAGCATTGTTTTCAGGGGGTGTTGAACACCAAGAGCTAGATTCACAAAAGGATTTACATGTCTTACTGCCACATTAGGTGCTAAAGTCAAACATTTAGCAGCCACTGAGATTATCAAAACCTCCCCATAGCTGCTGCGTAATCCTGCAGGTGCCTATGTTTCTGCCAGTAACGCTTCCTCAACACCTAAGTTCCTACTAGTTCACGTGCAAAATTGCTCAACTCCTGATGCCACCTTGATGCTCATACCTGAGCCATGGTGGGATGCGCAAGTGAGGCGTTCTCCATCCATCTCATCTGCTGGGCATTCTCAGAGCATGCCTATCCGATCAGGACCCATATAGAAGACAGCTGGGGGCTACCTGATCAAGAATGTTTGGGTCAGGCTGGCTGGTGTGAGTGTTCTAGAATACCCAGACACTCCCCTGTCACTTAGGAGACCTGTTTTCAAATTCCCACTCTGCCTGATTTGAAACGAGGACTTGGCCTCAGGTCTCGGTGAGTGCTCTAATCACTGGGCTACTGGTATAAAGGTGGGGAGATCTTGCTCTCATGAGAAAATGGCGAGCCTGGCTTAGGTTCCTAACTTCAAGAGAGGGTTTACCTGGAATCCCAAATGGAGCCAGGTGCTTCCCTTTGGCCCAGCGTTAGATGCCTACCTAACTTTGAGCAGCAGGGCCTAAATTGCATCCCCGTCTCACCATTTCCTATTGGCTTGCAAAGGCAGCTCTCCATTCAGCTTGCTGGCTTCTGAGAATCTCTTTTTAGATGCCTAACGCTCCCTATGCATTGTATAAGAAGGCTGGGCACCTAACTCAAGGCTGAGGATTACACTAGGTGGCAAAGCGCCTAATGCCTAAGTCCCTTTATGGATCAGGCACTTCTCTGCATCTTTCAGTGCATACATACATTTAAAAACATGGCCACTAAATCGCTACATGCCTCAGTTTCCCTATCTAACTTACAGGGCGATGAGGCTAAATTAACTACAGTATGCTGAGTGGTTTTAAACCATTGGATGGAAGGCACCATGGAAGCTCCGTGTGTTAATGATAATATAAAGCAGTGGAAGTGGCTCATCATTAACTCATGAAGATCACGCTTAAACAGGGTTAAATCCACACTTCCCCAGTCACACATAGTCTCACTCACATTTGTTTTGTGTGGTTTCCTTAGTCAGTGAATATCGAGAACTAAGTTTAAGACTGGTTATTTTGTTTCCGCCTTTCCAATAAGCTTTTAATTACAGTGCAGGAGTTTTGTTACAGGCTACCATGATCCAGCTGGAAGCAGTTAGTTACACTGTAGTCACTCCCTCCTCCCCTCCACCACTGGATTCATTTCCAAGGCCTTACCCTTCTTGTCTTGGTGATTATGGGATGAGACTGCCGCATATGGATCTGTGTTTTCAGATGAGCCAACCGGATCCTTCCAATCCAGCATACGTCCCCTAGTATCATAACCCTCTTGAGCTGGAGAGTCAGAAGTGGTGGTGCTTGGAACTAGTGAACTGGAGTGGCCTGTGTTTACATTACAAATACAATTAGGGAAGACACCACACATTAGTCACTCAGGAGCATAAAATAAGCATTGTTTTTTGTGAATGCTGGAAAGGTTTCTTGAAACCAAGCAATGTTTCAAAAGCCTTTCACAACATTGCCCAAAGGAAATGTAGCATCTGAATCTTTTGCAGCTGTGAGAGAAACTACTTTCTGAGTAGTCAGAGCAGGCATGTGTGTGCCTGTGTCAGTGGGAGACATGGGCCTTGACTATAGTCAACACTTCACTGGTTTACCTACAGGTTTTGGTTAAAACTGATTGAGTTGAAATGGTGCCGTGGGCATGCTTTCTACAATTTCAGTCCAATTAGCTTAATTCAGTAGGGTGTTGAGCTAAAACAATATGAGCCTGGTTTACACTGAATTAAGCATGTCCACACTGTTTTAAGTTAATTGATTGTTTTAAACCAACTTAAAGTGAAACTGGTGAAAATTTACTGTAGACAAGGCTGCTGTTCTTAAGGAGAATGACAGCTTAACTGTAGCAGGGATAGGGCAGCTGATCCCTGCCTCGTGCTCTCAGGGGCAGGACAGATTGTCCAGGACCTGACCATGTTCTCATGATGGCATCAATTTTCTGAAAAGCCATAAGCTCCGTGATTCGCTAACACTACTTTAATACTCTGGAGTGGTCTCTGCCCAAATGGACGCATTAGCATGATCAAAAGGGGGTCCCTGTAATGGGAGTAGGAGTGCTGGCAAAAAACAGATAATTGGGTCCTGGCTCCACTCACCTGATCTAGATCAGGAACACAAGTGTCAATACCCCTGTCTCATGACCATGATCTACTGACTCTAGTGGCCCCTGCAGCAGTCTCCAGGTGAGATTTGCCCCCCCACCCCCCTTTAAGGATAAAACACTATTTTTAAAAAAATCAATCCAGGCACCTTCAAACCTTAATTTGTTCCTGCTTAAGGAAAGCTTTTTTCACGCTGTTTATTTGGCTCCAAACCACATTGTGTTTTCTATGCAGGCTACTGCAATTTACCGTGCACTACAGGAGACAATCTTAAATCTTATAGTTCCATGGAGTTTTATAATGATTCTGCGATCATTATTGCTGTTTTTAACTATACAGGTTGTGGCAATCACCTTTGACATGGTTCAGATTAACAAACATGTTCATGAGACATGGCCAGCCAGGCATAAGGCAATTTTCACATGAAGTGGGATTTAGTTGGGATATGGTGGAGAACTGATCTGTGTGGGTTAAATAGTCCTTTATCCACCTCACAAGGTTGAGTTGCAAATGAATTCAGTGAAAAGGTAGCAGCTCTATTAAGTTCCTGCTATGATGTAAAGGCGCTCTACTGAATATTAATTATTGTGGAGAGACAGAAAATGTCTCTGTGCCTCCCTATATTTTTGAGGAGGTCCTTTGAGTCATCACATAGGGTTACACACAGCAGCACTTTGAACAATATTTAACACAAGACATGCATGTAACTATTGCCTGTATTTAACTGATACAATTTGCAGGAAAGGAGGTCAGCTCTAGTGTTTTTACCATGGATCTAGTCTTGAGATGCTACAGCTAATCATTAACAAGATTAATTTAGCAGTGTACCCCAGGCTGAAGGATGATACTGACAAGGGCACTGTATTATTCTTTAATCTATCATGACAGGAAGTGTGGTTCCACTATCTGTCTTTCTAAAATACTGCAAATTAGAGGCTTCATTTTGTTTAAATAAGCTTTTTTTAATTTTGCTTAAATAAAAAAAGAGAAGCTAAGTGGTTATCCACTTCTAAAGATTTCTATAAAGCCAAGAGCATTGCTGGAAATATTGGTAACAGTTACATGGATGGATTCTGAACCAAATTTGCTGCCTTGTCTCCAAGAATTCCAAACAGCTGCCTCTATGCAAAGGGACTAGTACGGAGCCAGCTACTGAAAATATGTGCCTTCTTAAACTAGGAATATACTGGAACTGTAAGGCTTTTCGACCATACCATTTTATGCCGATAGGCTCCTGTGCTCATCCCAAAGAAATAACAGAAGCAACGGGACAGAAACAACCTAGAAAGTGGAAGTTATGAGTTTCCATGCCTTCTTTTCTCTAAATACAAAACCATAGTGCCAGTATTCACGGGGTTCCAGACTGCAAGTTGACACCCTATTCAACCACTGCAATACTGTACAATATTTGATCAGCCCTACAAATAATGCTGCACTCAAAATAAGAAAGCAGTTAGTCCTAGCTTGATAAGGACTGAGGAGAAAGCATTGCCAAATAGCAGTCATAATTTATACCTGTATTTGATATGCATTTTGTGCCCCCATCTCCATGCAGACACTTTCAATTTAGCTGTGTTCAAGGGGCAATTTTATGGTAATGTAATAAGTATAGTTAAGGAAAAACATTTCTTAATACGGTAATCTAGAGGAAAGATATGCCTGAGGGACACATTCTTTACAAAAAGCGTTCCTGAACCATATGCTACAAATACATGGAGAACTCCTTGTAATAGAAATCTATAGCTATATGATGATATTAATGTGTACCAGATGGCAGTTAGGTAGAGAAGTGTTTCACACAAATGCAAGAAATCAGTCTATTCACTCGGTTACTAAAGTGTTAGTATAGTATGCATTGAGAAATGATTTTCTACATGTAGCTGAGAGACATTTGCTTCCATCTGAGCGAGGGGCAGCAGCAGATTAGAACATAATAACCTTTCCCACTTGGATTCAGACTGGATCCTGCAAACACTTACTGCTGGGCACAAAGTTTGTTCCCCTGAGTCAGGGGCGGCTCTATGCATTTTGCCGCCCCAAGCACAGCAGTCAAGCGGCTTTTGGTGGCATGCTGCGGGAGGTCCGCCGGTCCCACGCCTTTGGTGTACCCACCGCTGAATTGCCGCCGAAACCGCGGGACCGTCGGACCTCCCGCAGGCATGCCGCCGAAAGCAGCCTGACTGCTGCCCTCCCAGCGACCGGCAGGCTGCCCCCCACGGCTTGCCGCCCCAGGCACACGCTTGATGCATTGGTGCCTGGAGCCACCCCTGCCCTGAGTAGTCTCATCGTGCCCTGTGAGTGTTGACACAATTAGTCCCTTGTGAAATTCAGATTTACGATGGTGCACTGCATAGGCGTATGTGTTACTTAAGCACTGAAAATAAGGGTTAAAAGTGCTGCATAGACTTAGTGCTGCCCCTCTGTGCAGGGGTGACTCACTCATTGTGATGATTGTTCCTCAGCAATGACTGTCATATGTAATGTAATATGCCTTTTTCTCAAGTACACTAAGGCTACTTTATACCATGCTGCCTGCATAAAGTGGCCTTAAGTTATATTTACACCCACTTTAAAGCCCTTTTACACAACTACAGCAATGCAAAGTGGCTTTAGCATAATGGGAACCAGGCTCAACAGCTCTATTGTAACATGGCTTATGTTTAAAAAATGTCTAAAGTTACTTCCTCATTAAGATTCTCCTGTTGTTTTAAACTACCCCCATCTGAACAACTGCAGATGTATGGTGCTCCTCAAGCACTGATTTTGAAAGCAGAAGTTTAAGGACACATGCTGTTTGAAAAAAAGTGATTTAGTGATTAATTTGTAAAGCTTTTCGTTTGCAAGTCTGTAATCACAATAATACTGCAAGAACAAGAAAGCAGATATAACTAGAGAAGTGCGTGTTGAGGAATTTGGAAGCTGTAATATGGTTAGTGTCTGTGAGCACTGACGATGAGTCAGAAGAACTGTATTTCTGTAATTACAACTCATTCTAACCATGTTTTTATGAAACGAAGAGATGATTTTTTTAGCTTTAACACAGTGTCGGGGATGCAATATGGATTAGATAGTTGCTCTAATATGCAAAAGGTGTTAAGACTCCAGAGATTAAGATGCTCCACACACTATCCTATTAACAACTATAGCAACCTAATTAGACAATTAGAGGGAAAGGCTAAATCAATACTACAGAGGGAGAAAGGAATGTGGCTAGGGGGTAAAATAAGGGCCCAATTCACTAAAAATTGATGTTTCCAAAAGTAATTAAGTTGCATACAATTTTGCACAGGGGAAAGCTTGCTTTAAGCTAAGAATCCTAGCCTTTCGTCTAAATATGTGGTTTTTGTTCCATATATAGCTGACCTTCATGGAGTGGCCTTCTGCATGGAAAAATGAATGTGCATGAACAGTCATCGATATGAGCTTTGCACTTTATCACTTGTTTATAGATGATCATGCGAGGCTGCCCCATCTGCCAAATTCAGGAGGATGCTGATGCCAAGAATACAAAGATTAAGGGCTTGACTCTCTTCTCACTTTCACTGGCATAAACTAGGAGTAACTCCAGTAAAGTTTGTGGAGTAACAATGGTGTAAAACAAGTATGAGAGGAAGCAGCCCTAAGCCTTCTTGTGAATCTGGAGTTTCAGATGCCTTTGGAGATAGATATATATCCCACAAGCTCCAAACGCATCCTGAGCATTCATTTGATTGACATGCTCATATATACCAGCATTCTAAGGTTCTAGCCATAATGAAATGCCATTTAATTTTGCATTTAATTATGTTCAATAACAGTCAAATGCACCGTTTATATAATTTTAGTTAAAGTGGGTATACTTTTCTTCTCATGCTAAAAATGACTTATTTGGCTCAGTTAAAATACCAAACATAAGTGTGTCTATACAGTGAATTGTTAACATGAGGCTGTTTTTTACTGTATGTTTGTGAGTTTTCTCTCTTCATGTACGAGATTTTTGTAACCCCCTTTTCTTTGGTAGTTTGAGCGCAAAGCAGGAGGGAAGAAGGACTGTCAACTGCATCATAATGTCACCACTTGTATTTTAACTACGACACCAATAAGAGAAATTCACTGATCTAATGACTGCATATCAGGATTTGGCCCAGGCATGTCATTAGTATTAGGTGACAGATAAGGTGTGATTGGGACTTAAAGTTAGCACTGGGTAGCATTTCTCCATAGTCCCAGATAAATAAGATCCTTTTTTGAAATGTTAATGCAATAAATCAGTTTGGGAGAGGGAGATACAGACATCAGAGTGATTTTTTTTTTTATTACACACACACACCCTTTGGGGTTGTGATGCTTCTCCCTGAGGGCCATCTTCATGACTCTTTGGTCAGGTGAAAAAAGCAGCTTCCACCACAGTCCAAAACCAATAAGATGTCTCTCCACAGCCCTGCTGTAAAGCGTTGTTTCATATGAGTGGGAGTACCAATGCATTTGCCAATCAAAATATTTTTGAACATCAGTGCTATACACAGGGCAATTTTCTTTTTTTCAGACTCAGAAACATTACTATTCGTCAGTTACTGCTATATGCTTTGGAAGAATAACACTGAAAACACTTGCAGATGCAGAGCATGTGCTAATTTTGTCCCAATTCTGATCTACTTTGTTCGTCCAGGGCTTGTTAGTCCAGTGCTGCCTGATATGAGTCTGATCACTAAGCCCCAATCCTGCCACACTGAAATCAATGGGAATATGCCATTGCCTTAACTGGGCGAAATACCATACGTCACTCACAGCCTATGGATATCTGCCATTGGAGGAAGATCTGTTGTGGAAGCAATGACTAACTCTTTGGCTCTGGAAGTTAGAACTTTCTAGTGTGAAGCCCTTTGTTTTCAGATGGCTTGCTGGGAGCTGGCAACACCAGGAAGTTAGGGAGTTACGTAGAGCATGGAAGCACCAGCAAGAATAAGGCAGCCCAAAAGTTTGGAAGCAATTGAAACCTTCATGTTTCAGGGCATGAGACAACCTCTAACTAATGAGGCTTGCAAAGAAATTTTCCTTATGGATAGGTTATTCCATAACTGCCCGAGGCAGGGTTTCTTGCTCCTTTCCCTAAAGCATCTGGTACTGGCTGATGTCACAGACAGGATACTTGGCTAGATGGACCTATTTTCCTACCTATTTTTCCTCAGCGAATAGACAAAATGTATTCACTGTACCATGTACTCTATCTAGATGTTCTGGTGAAGCATGCTTGGGTCAGCTTGGTTAAAAGTTCTGAATCTAGAGTGCCATTAAGACTGGCCATAAATTGTTTTAGCTCAATTAAGTTAGTTTTGGGTGCAAGATGGAAAATTGTATGTCGAAAAGCACAAATAATCCTAAGATTAGTGAATCAGGCCCCAATAAAACAAAACAAAAAAGACAAATTCTATTTGGCAATGGGGTCTACCAGCTAACACAAGGACCTGAGGGAGAATTTTTAAAAATATCAATAAACTGACCATACACTGTGTTGTAAGATATTTCATGAGCTGGTGAAGGAGTTGAAATGGCTATGAAAAAAATAAATTAGGAAAAAACATTATAGAAAAATCAAGGCATGACAATATTTAAAAGGTTAGTAAGATGATCCCTCCAAAATTGAGCAGCACAGTTAGGAAATGATGTGACTAAGAACTTCCTTACCATTCAGTGCTACAAAGGAATCTGAAAGAAAAACAAAAACGAGAGGTAAAAATCATTGTTTCTCACACAGTGCTAAGTACTTGCTACTAAAAAAACCTCTTATGTTTCTGTTGTTATTTAATTGTACTGTGTCAATGCCCAAGTGCCCCAATCAAAATCGGAACACCAATGCGCTAGATGCTGCACAAACATAGAAGAAGACCACAGTGTCTGCTCCAAAGAGCTTACGAGCTAAAGCCTCACTCCTTCAAAGACAACCGTGCAAGCAAACCCCAGCCACCACATGGCTCTCTTTGCAGGATCAAGTTCCAAGAAGTGAATTTCACCCAATGTGCACAGCTTGATTCTGAATCATTTCTCACCCTTCTTTGAGGTGACTGATGTCAGATATCCCCCACTGCCATTCAACCTGGCCAACTGTTATTTGGCCAATTTCTTGTAACCATTGCAGCAGAAATGAGTCTTGAGAAAGAACAGGAAGAGGGCAGTTGCCTCATAGACCATTAGTTATTATACATTTAAATAGTTAAAGCCTCAACTTATTCTTACATTCAAAATCTGCAAGTGCTGATTGTGGTCAAGTCATTAGGTGTCTGCTTAAGGAGAAATTTGGAGAAATCCCCACTCTAATTTTTCCATGTCTCAAGCTGAGTTTTGGCAGTATTTGGTATTGTGGGGAGGACCAAATCTATAATGAGATCACTCTTGGTGTCTCTATGTACATGGCACTGGTATGCAGTGAAGAGTACCATGGAATTATCTGCTTCAAATATGAAACTCTTTACAGAGTAAATATAAAAACAGGCTTATGCTGCTGCCATTGTAGTTATTGACAAAAATCACATGGACTTTAAGAAAAGTGGGAATGAACCCATACACAATAAGGGCCATTTAGATAGTGTCCTGAGATAGGTGCCATGTCACCCATGGGAAGCACTGTAGGGACTGTGCATAAATCTCTCAAACAACCCAGAGTACAGGCTACCCTAGCCTCCTAGTCCATGAAGCAGACTGATGTGGAAGTAGGCGGGGTGCATATGTGACCCACACACCTCCAGGATATGGTGTTCTGTCCCCTCTAGTGGCACTGAGACCACTTAGAGATTAATGACTCTGCTACAGCCTTAGCTAAGGACCATGTGGCTTTCAGCTCACGCAGTAGAGGCTCATAGGCTAAGCTCCAAAAGTCCCAGGCTTGACCCTGCCCACCAATGACTGGGGTCTGTCGGTGTTACACATACATAAGAATGACCATACTGGGTCAGACCAAAGGTCCATCTAGACCAGTATCCTGTCTTCTGACAGTGGCTAATGCCAGGTGCTTCAGAGGGAATGAACAGAACAGGTAATCATCAAGTGATCCATCCCGTCACCCATTACCAGCATCTGGCAAACAGAGGCTAGGGACCCCATCCCTGCCCATCCTGGCTAACAGCCATTGATGGACCTATCCTCCATGAACTTATCTAGTTCTTTTTTGATCCCTGTTATAGTCTTGACCTTCACAACATCCTCTGGCAAAGAGTTCCACATGTTGTCTGTGCGTTGTGTGAAGAAATACTTCCTTTTGTTTGTTTTAAACCTGCTGCCTATTAATTACATTTGGTGACTTCTTGATCTTGTGTTATGAGGAGGAGTAAATAGTTCCTTATTCACTTTTTCCACACTAGTCATGATTTTATAGACCTCTATCATGTACCCACTTAATCGTCTCTTTTCCAAGCTGAAAAGTCCCACTCTTTTTAATCTCTCCTCATACGGAAACTCTTCCCCTAGTAATTTCTGTTGCCCTTTTGTGAACCTTTTCCAATTCCAATATATCTTTTTTGAGATGGGGTGACCACATCTGCACGCAGTATTCAAGATGTTGGCATACCATGGATTTATATAGGGGCAATATGATATTTTCGGTCTTATTATCTAGCCCTTTCTTAACGATTCCCAACATTCTGTTTGCCTTTTTGACTGCGGCTTCACCTTGAGTGGATGTTCAGAGATCTATCCACGATAACTCCACGATCTCTTTGTTGAGTGGTAACAGCCAATCATTTTATATGTATAGTTAGGATTATGTTTTCCAATGTGCATTACTTTGCATTTATCAATATTGAATTTCATCTGCCATTTTGTTGCCCAGTCACCCAGTTTTGTGAGATCACTTTGTAGCTCTATCTTGAATAGCTTTGTATCATCTACAAATTTTGCCACCTCACTGTTTACCCCTTTTTCCAGATCATTTATGAATATGTTGAATCGTACTCATTCCAGTACAGACTCATGGGGGACACTACTATTTACCTCTCTCCATTCTGAAAAGTGACCATTTATTCCTACCATTGTTTCCTACCTTTTAACCAGTTACCAATCCATGAGAGGCCCTTCCCTCTTATCCCATGACAGCTTACTATGCTTAAGAGCCTTTGGTGAGGAACCTTGTCAAAGGCTTTCTGAAAATCTAAGTACATCTGATACAAAAGATTAAACCCTTGAGCTCTCCCAAGCAGAGGGACTGCAATAAGAAATGGCTGTGTAAGGAGTGGGAGGCTCCCAGTATTCTCCTCAGCAGTGCGTCTGTGCAGGAGTCAAGCACACCCTGGCCTTCAGTGTACATGCTCCATTACTCTATATGCCATAAGTGTTGGCTCACTGTACATTAACTCCTCAGCTTCAGCAGTTTTATTGTGGCCACAGGCAGCAGCGGAAATTGTTTTATGAAGAACTGAGTTCTTGGTTGCATGGATTTAAAGTAATGTCCAGGTTCTGTATTAAACCAACATAGGCAAGAACATTAAGAATAATGGCCATCTTGAATGCAACCCTAGGTATTTCTGGAGTCTCTAATCAGCACATAAGATTTCACTACATGCGACATGTGCTGCAGTCCCTGGGCACCACGCACTTTAAAGACTGAGTGACAGCTTTCACTTTGAATTTCTGAGATATAAAGAGGCATATTATCCAAAGTTTTATACAGGGATTGCGCTGCAGGATTCTACTGCTGGGAATGATGAGGTGAAATCCTGCACTCTGCTGCACAAGAAATTTACCTTGTAAAGTTACATGTGGTTTGTATTAAATCTCTTTCCAATTAAAAATGCTGAGGCTCTTTAAGGATATTAAGGTATGTTAAAGTATGTCAAATGCAGCTCAACATAACCTTAAGCACCGCTAAACTAATTTTGACATAGATCTTTTGCGTAAAGCCATGCCATGGGAGTGGTTATTAAAAGGATTTTTGGCATGGGTTTTCTAAATGCCTCTCATGGAGTTAGCACAGATAGGCAGAGTTAAAGGGTCATTTAAAAAAAAAATCACTTCACATGTACAGTCCACGAGTTTGAAGGTTAAATGCTTGGCCATATAACGTGTGTCATTTCTTTCATCCCAAAGGCCACATTCTCCTAGCCTTGTTCATCATGTTGACTAGCACCTTATTTGACCAGAGTGCCCTGGACTTCAATGTGAATATTCTAGGCCCTGCTCATGGTAACTCAGTTTATCAGAATTTGGTCCCAACTGATTAGTCTTCATTCCAAACTCCTTGTCTACATTGTCCCTGTCAGTAAATGTACATAAATTCAAGGAAATCAGAAAAAAGTCCATAACATAAACAAGCCCAATTCTGTAGGCAGCAAGGATGAAATCCTGACACCATTACTGACAAGGGCAAAACTCCCACTAACTTATGTGGGGCCTGGATTTCACCCCCTAGGGTTTTGGATGCACAAAGAATAAAAGATTAGGCTTATTATGCACACACTTGTATTTTTCCTAAATTTAAATATGCTTAATCTGAAAGAGCTATATTTTGGCACATGACACAGTTCATAATAAGGGGTGATGGGTAGCTGCACTGCCTCAGGAGCAGCCCAAATCAGCAGTTGCTTCTCAGGGAGTCACACTCCCCTCCATTCTGCCCCTTACTCCTCAGGGTTTACTGCTGGCCATACCAGTTGCAAATTACTACCTTCCACAACATGCTGGCTCAGCTGTGCTGGCCAGTGAGTAGGGAGTGGAGACAAGGCTATGCACACTTCTCATCCCTCCTCAAGTCACTGCTGCCCATCTGTTCCAGAGAGGGACTAAGAGTAGCCTTGCTTACCCTTGCGGGCTGCGACTCAAGGTCTGAGTAAAGAGAGCAGAGGGGCTCTCATGTACAGGTACACAGACCAAGTCACAATCTCACCCAACATTTGTAAAGCAACAAATGTTCATTTTGCACTGTGGAGCTGAGACCCTGCATGCAAGATCATACACATAAACCAACCAACCCACCCACCCACCCTTGAGTTTACAATGGCAATGAAGATACAGTGTATACAGCTGCTATAATTAATATCCTTCAGAGCTGGATTTGTCCCACAACACAATTGCCATTAAAACAAGTGCCATTGTTTGTATAAACCAAAATGCTGTTTTCTTTAAACAGGCACACAAATGCTTTTCTTGGACTGGTTACTTTAAGTGTGGTTGCTGTTGTTATGTTTTTCATTGCTACCAATAAAGCCCTGGCAGGTAATGGTGATTCTGGGCAGTCAGAAAGATTCTCTGACACAAGATAAACAGGGAGTAAAAGCTTTGCTTACTTTGGCAGTCACCCAGGCCATCTGTATTGCCATGCTCTATGTCCTGCTCAAATGCCAACCTAAATAACAGAAAGAAACATAATAGTGTGAATAACAACACTCACAGGCATCACCAGAGAGAAATCATACCATCTAAAAATGAAATAAAGATACAGAGAGAAACTGGTCATTTTTTTAATACACCACTGGGAAACTTGCAAAATGCAAACACAGACAAATTGAATTATTTTCATCTCTTAATGGTTCTTTTGGGTGCAGAAGATGCTTTGACATCTTTTTCTGCAAAATCTACTACATCTTGTATTGCTAAATCAGGCAAACAGATACATATCTTTATGAAAAATGGGAGAACATCTGTGAATAAAGTGATAAGTCTAAAACAAACAATGAAATTATCAGAAAGCAATTATGATTCTATCTGAACTTGCTCGTATTCTACAGAAGGTGCATTGGTATTTTGACAAGAAAAATACATTAACCCAATATGTAGGTACTGAGCCTAGGAACTATGATAATAAACACTACAGAAATGCTCACAGATGCAGAAATAGATGTCAACATTATATGCTTAAATACTATTCTACCAAATGGCCCTTCTGAGGCAGAATCCACATTGTTGTAATGAAGAGAATGCAACAGGGCACTTATAGTTAACAAAGATCTACAGTGAATCTTTAAAAAAAAACATTCTAAAGTAATAGAAAGAATAAGATGGCTGATCTAGGTATAAGAATGATAACACAGCAGTTATATATTTATTGAGGACCTGTAAAGAAGCAGGGGGCTTCATGTTGGCAGGAATACGGAGGTTATCTGATGTTAACAATACACCTGTACCAAGATTCTGAAGTACAGCCAAGGCTTAAAGTGAGCAATCTTGTGGTGTGTCAGACCTGGCAAAAATATGAGACTTTTCAGGTGGATCTGTTGCCTGCAAGGAGGCATTTATAAATGCATTTAAAACAAGCATCCGGAGTCCTAAAATGTTGTTATGAAGTACTGAAATTCCACTGTTAAGCAATAAGAGACCCAACAATTCTTTCGGTGTACTTTAGTGATCTGTGATTCATTTTAGTAATACACAGCAAATTAGGAGAGCTGGCTTTGTTTGTTTTCGGTGGTCAGACTGCTTCAGTAATCTAATTTGGATTCTATTGCCTCTTTTAATCAGCTTTGATGGCACCAGTGCCAAACTTGCTCATACAGTTCTCCTTCTTTGAGCAATACATGGGACTTACTGTGTATCTATCTTCTTTTCTTTTTCCTAAGGGTAAATAATCAGTGGAGAGTTTGCATCAAATCATACTCTGGAATTCCAGAGAATGCAAATAGGATGAAAGCAAACATTTTGCACATTCTTTTTCCAAGAGCTCCTGCTGGGCTTTTTCACAGTTCTGTTCAAAAGTGTATCTCAATGGCATCATTGCTAAAGCCCCTAATTTGTACTCTGTCTATCCAATGCCAACGGTTACTTACTTTACACCAGGTAACAGCTGTGTGCATACCCCACCTTCCTTCACCCAGCCACAGTATGGGTCTCTGGAGGCTATGCAGGCCCTTAAGAAAGAAGAACATAAAGCATTCTGGAATTTTTTCTTCTTCAGTTTTCTAATGCTCGATATGGCTTGAAAAAGGATTTGTAAACTTGGGGAGAAACCCTGACACAAAACACCTACTTTTTGCACTTGCCATGACGCTCACATCGTCCCAGGGGAATCTTTATCACACAGGTAGAGAATGCTACATAGAGAGAACTGCTATGTTTGTCAAGCTGCATTCCCATAATCCTCTTGTCTTCTACCCCATCATAGCTGCACCTGATTTGACAGAGTAGGATAATGTTATAAATGGGTTCTCTTGGCAAATTTAATTATAACATAATGATTTCTTAATCTGAGTAAATTCCAGAGAGGAGAAATTATTAGGTCAGAGGAAAAGAATACATGAACTCTATTAAAATCATAGTTCCTAAGATATATAAACAACTGTTAAAAAGGATATATACAAGAGGGAGCTGCCAGTAGGGACGACTCCATGTAGCTCCTTGACTTTCAAATTCACTCCCCTCCTTAACCTTTATGGTATGCTGCAAAACTAATCTAGTTACATTTGAGGAGGGTTGAAGGTCAGGAGGTCTTATTTTGGGGGTGGGTTTTTGAGGGAAATCAGCATTTTGAGTGTGGGGGGGTTCATTTTTATGGGCAAGTTGTTGGTTAGCTACTGCTATTTTTGTATTTGTTGGATTGCATTGTCAGGGATGCTTAAGAGCTGCCTGTGATGCAGGGTCGGCGCTATGCACCAGCAAAGCAAGCAGGTGCTTGGGGCGGCATATTTGCAGGGGCGGCATTCGGGCCATCCTTTTTG